AAAACTTCCTATTTCATTTTTATTGCTGAGGATGTTTAATGCAACTGTTCTAGTAACTTGCATATCAAAAAGAGTCTTAACAGTTCAGGACCTCCTTGAAGTCTGCGGTTCAGATGTTGGTTCATAAGAAAAAAACCGCCAAAAATTGAACCTTTTCCGAACTTCAAAAATACAACTATTCAATGAATTGAAAAATAGTGAAAAATTAGCGTAAATTAGTGATTACTGTATATTAACAAAATCTATAGTGTTGAAGTTCATCTAATAAGCGGAAGAATGAATAGATTACCGGTCGTGCATGCTATTTCAATTCAAGAGGGTTTTATTCTCATTCTATGTGCGTTCCCACGGAAATTCTTTTTCCTTTTGAGCATCAGTACTTGAGAAGTTTGATAAAAGCATTGCAAAATCTCTTTTTGAGAAATGCAATGGCTTCTAACAATCAGGACGAAGCTTAAGTGCATCACTTAGACTTTTTCCCATAAGACCCGTTACGGAAATGCTCAATTTTCCAGCATTTCTCGCCTCATGTTATTTTTCACAATCAATTCCTTTAAAAAACCCCATAGGCAGCCCTCTTGGATCAATTTGCTTTCTCAAACTGATAATTTACCTAATTTGCCTATTATTTCTACCAATTTCAGATATTTTTCATCGTCCAATGATGAATCCAGGACTAGATGCGAAGATGAGTGCGAAGAAGTGAGTTTTACAAGAAGATAGAATTTTTTGCTTAATTTTCCAATCAGTAAAATTGTTCCTTTTTCAGTGAAGATAGGATAGCTTAGAGTAATAATTCTCATAAATTTCAGGTTTATTTCTCATTCTTCACATACGGAAAGTGTGTAGGCGACATATTTGGCAGACTTCCAAAGGATCAACAACCAGCCTGCAACCTTAGATGTGGAGTAAGTAGAACTACTTTAACCCGACAATTTATAAAGTTAGGACATTAAACCGTTGTTTTTAGGTTCGACCACGACTCTGGACGTCGATCGGATTATTCTGTGTATTTGCC